ACTGTAGAATAAGACTTCTTTTCTGCTAAGTGTGCAATTTAGCGTTGATATAACTTTCCATCGTAATCTTGATAGATAGATGTTTGTCAGTTTAGTACATTGTAACAAGATGAGATTTACATGAATCTATTCTTCAATCGAACTTTTGTTATTTTGATGTGAGGAGAAAATTTGGTTAAACTGTTTATGATTTGTTTTGTGTTGTGTTGAGGTGCCTACACTGGCTACAATTCTCAGAGTAACTTTTGATGATTACAGGGGCATCAAAATGTTTTCTGCCAGTTGGTTGATTTGATTGGGATAACATCCATCATGGAGGTAATCGGTTTGTCTTAGGCTCAGTGCAACTTGGTGTAACCTCAGAGGTCATTTTTGCTATAATGTTTATGTGACATTGTTTAGGTTTTGGTTCGCTTGGTCGGGGCTGATGATCATGTCTATCCCAACTTTCTGGATGTGATGCAATGGTTGGCCGATAGCAATTTACTTGAAATGATCGTGGACAAACTTAAACCATCTGTAAGTGGTAAAGCTTTTTCTATAATCATTTCAAAGACGAGGCGCTGGCTTTCTGTTTTGATGCTTGTAGAGTGGTGTAAATCTAGGATATTTGATATGATATTCCTGGTTTCTTTTATCATCTTCAATCTGATCTGATATTCCTAGTTTCTTACAATCTTTTTAACTTGTATCAGAGTCATCCGGAGGTTCAGGCAAATGCAGCAGAAACATTATGTGCAATTTCTCGGAATGCACCGTCAGCTTTAGCTACTCAACTCTCTAGCCCTGGGTTTGTAATTTTTTCTTCCATGATTGATTCCTATTGCTTCGATAGATTGATATAGAAGTGTTTCACATGGCAGCACAAACTTTTTCCTGCTTTTGCAGCTTCGTTGCGAGGATATTTGGTCATGCTCTTGAAGACTCTCATTCAAAATCGGGTCTAGTTCATTCGCTTTCTGTATGCACCTCTCTGTTGGATCCGAGAAAATCTGCTGCTTCATCATCTATGTTCAATTCTTATAGAGGTCAACATATGTTTGAGTCTCCTGTTCCGGTGTCCCAGGAGACCATTGGAGCCATGCTGCCTAAACTCAGTAAGTTGAATCCTATGGTGTAAGATCTTCACATGGCCATCCAAATTATTACTTTTTTTTTTGGGTTGGATGCACACAATCTAATTTTGCACATGGAAAATAGTCAAACCTTTTCTTATGTGATGTTCTTTCAAATTGCGAGGACTCCAAGTGTAGTTAGCATCTATCTGCACGTCTTGTCTGATCTCGCTGCTCTCTGTTGTGTCTGTTCTATTTTGGTTTATATTGATAAGACGGAAACTGGTTTCACATTAGTTCCACAAATTTTGGATGCTTTCGTAGCACTTCTTGGATGCGTAGGATACTATGTMGTACAAGTAATTCAAATCAGGGTTTATGAATTCTATGGCCTTAATGATATTTTTTTTCCCTTCAGGCGACATGCTTATGCTGCTCACTGTTACATCTGACAGCACAGTATTGCCTACAACATACGGTGAACTTAGGCCGCCTCTTGGAAAGCATCGGCTAAAGGTCAGGTCCAAAATTTGAGCATTTTATGGAAAGAAACTATAGGTTTTAGGACAGCAACAATGTTTAAAGTCTCTATGATTAGTGGGACTCAATTATCCTATTTTTTGTTTCAGATTGTGGAGTTTATCGCTGTTTTGTTAAGAACTGGAAGTGAAGCTGCACAAAAGGAGTTAGTTAGTTCAGGAACAATTAAAAGAACCCTTGATTTGTTTTTCGAGTAAGCGTTTGCTACACTTCAAACTCTTGACCTCAGTGTTGTTTTTTCTACTAGATCTTAACTAATCAAATACTGTCCACATATGAAGGTACCCTTTCAATAACGCTCTGCATCATCAAGTGGAGAGTATAATACTTTCTTGTTTGGAAAACAAGAGCGATTTAACGGTTAACCATATTCTTCGAGAATGCAATCTGATTGGCAGATTCCTGTCTTCAGACAAGGACTCAAATCTCTCAGGTGACAGCCAGGTATTACCATTTGGTATGTTTACAAAGGTTTTAACTAATCATTGCTATGTGACAGAGTGTCATCTTAAGGCAGCTCCAATATTAGAGCCATCGAATCATTGCTCCCATTAGCGAAACAAATATTCTCTGACATTTTCTTTCTGTTTTGTGTGAGGTAGCCCACTGTATCCACCACTGGGAAAAAACCACCTCGGGTTGGATATGTTGGACATATCACAAGAATATCAAATAAAATTGTTCAGTTGAGTAACAGCAATGGCCAGATAAAGGCATACCTTCAGGTTGGTATTACAATCATACAATCTCCTGCTGTGTAGCTTTTCCTCTGTCGCTTTTTTGTCACTTTACACGCATAAAAATCAAATATAAAACCATTAGTTGAGAGTCTTGTCATGAGTGGTCCTCTCGCTCTCAGCGCACTTGTCATGTTTGCTGACTGGGCTTTATTCTTTCTCAAATCTTTAGGAAAACAATGAATGGAATGAGTGGCAAGGTAGTGTTCTACAGGAGCGCAACACTGTTGAGAATGTCAACAGATGGGGATGCGGGTACGTCCATTAACCTCCACTTATTAATCATATAGTAACCATCAAAATGATCAGTCACTGCTACATCACAATGATTATGGATGTAAAAATTCATGTGTGATCCTTGTCCATCTTGGATAAAACCCTTAAAGATGGTTTCTTTTTAATTCTGCTGAAAGCATAACCAATCAATAACAGTTTTTTGCTCTATAATCCATGTCAGATGTGTATAATTATTGAATCTGGAAGGTGACTGTTGTGGTACTTTGGATTACTCTAGACATTGTACAACTTACAGTCGTAGTCAAATGTGATTAGGCCACACAGTGGATGCATCATGAGCTGGTCCTGGGGTTTTGGTTTTATCATCACTTTTGGTTATATATATATTTAAACCCGCTGTTACATGTAGGCGCCCAACTACAGTACAAGATAGGACAAGGGAGAGCGATGAGGAAGATAGGGATTACGATGTTGCAGCTCTAGCCAATAATTTAAGCCAAGCATTTAGATACAAAATGTATGGAAATGACGATAATGAAGAGGTATATCTTCATACTAATGCTTTATAACTCATTTATGAACGATTTACCTGGAACTAAATTTATCTTCTCTGGTCAGGACCATAATGCTCTCGACAGAGATGATGATGTAAGTCCTGCACACTTTCTTTTCCCCCTTTTTTTTTGGAAAATTCAAGGGAACTATCGGCATCTTTTATCACACCATTATACATATAGGGATGTACGCTAGTAACATTTTTTTAGCTATTGAAAATCGGAATGTGTTCATACAATACAGGATGTTTACTTCGACGATGAATCCGCTGAAGTAGTCATTTCATCTTTAAGACTTGGGGATGACCAAGGAAGGTGAGTTAAATCCTTGATTTACCTCTAGTTATTGCTGATAGAAGTATAATGGTCTCTCTAAGTAAATGACATTAATCTGTCATGACTTTCTTCTGCAGCTTGTTTACAAATTCAGATTGGTTCACATTCCAAGATGACCGATTCGGAAGCACACCCTCTGACACAGCAGGTTCCAAGACGATAGGGGACATGGAATTGAACAGAGCCTTTAATGCCAACACTAGCAGCAGTGATGACGACGAGGTTGTGGTTGGAGAAGAAGACGATGATTTAACCGTAAATCCAAAAGACAAAGCATTGAACACAACTGAAACCAACTTACAAATGGAGAATCCATTGGGATTCTTTGACTTCAACACATCAGAGAAAGCCGAAGAAGCTTTTGCTGAACAGCCACCTGAATGGGTCGGGTGGGGCGAATCATTATCCGATTTGCAAGCAAGCGGCACCGGTCTAAACCCATTCAT